CGCCCCCCAGCCCAGCGCCTCGCGAGCGCCCCCCACCCCACCCCAGGTCCCAGTCCCGCCCTGTGCGCCCTCGCGCCTGCGCCTCCTCCTCCCGCGCTTTCAGCCGCGCCGCCGCCTCCGCGTGCGTGCGGTCCAGCTCCCTCCGCGCATCTTCGAGCCGCTCCCTGTATTTGTCGGCCTCCTCACGTCGCGCCGCGCCAACCTCCAGCTCGCGCACGCGCCGCACTGCCGCCTCAACCTGGATGGCGGCGAGCGCGTCGCACTCCTGCTCATAGGAAGGGGTTTGCGGCCGTGTGAGCTCAGGTGACCAATTGTGCGTGGGCGTGAGTGTGTGTGTGTCTGATTGTGTGTGTGTGTGTGTGTGTCGCGCCTGGGCTTCAAACAAGCAATGCGACGGCTACGGCTGCAGAGCCACCAGATATCCACCCAGGGTTCACGGCAACCATGGCGTCAGCAGCAGCACCGACTGCGCCAGCCCCTGACCCAACCTGCTCCTCAGCCGGCCCCGCCCACGCCCCTGCGCTGCCGCGGCCGCCAGCAGCCACCCCGGGCCCTCCCACCTGTCGGTACCGCGCCATCCGCTCCTCTATCGGAAGACCCCAGTCGCCGTCGCCGCCACCACCATTGCTGTTACCATCCGCCGGCTGATGCGCGCCCTGGGCGGGCCCGCGGCCGCGGCGCCGCGCGTGCGCCTCCTCAACCGCCCTGAGTTGGCCCGCCACCGTCAGGGGCGCCTCCGGTAGCGCCGGCTGCTGCGCCGGAGGCTGCGGCTGCTGCAGCGGCGGCGTGTCTGGGGGCCCTGCCTGGCGGCCGGCGGCTGCGCTGCTGTCCGCCGCGGCGAGGGCCTCCAGCAGCGAGGCGCCGAGGCTGCCTGCCCATGGCGCGATGGGTCGAGAGCGATGCGGTCTCTATCCGGCACAAGGGGCGCGTTTTCGCAGCAGCGATGGACCAGCACCAGCGCAGCGGGTGCCACGATGACCATGAGGGCCCCACGTGTCGTGGCGGGGGTGTCCTCAAAAGGCAAGCCGCACGCGCAAAGGCTCACCGGCCCCGTCCTCGTCGGCCGCAAGCCGCCGCAGCTCCCCATGCACCGCGGGGTGTCGCTCCGCCAGCCGCAGCAGCACGAGGAGGTCGTCCCTGCCGAGGGCGCCGCCTCCGCTGCTGCCGTGGTCGGGCAGATGGGCCTCTGCGGCAAACACTGAAAGGCTGCAGGCGCGGCCGCACGCGGCCAGGTGGTCGGCGACCAAGGCGTCCATCGCGGCGCGCCAGAGCCGCGTGCCATTGCGCGACGGGCGCTGCTGCTGCTGCTGCTGCTGTGTCAGGGACGTTGGAAGCGCGAACTGGTCGCGCGCGGGCGCGGCGACCAGCAGTGCGCCGGGCGCGGCGCGGGCGCCAGGTTGGAGCTGGGCAAGCAGCTGCGCACGCAGCTGGGCCTGCAGTTGAGGGGTGGCGGGCAGGAGCGGCAGGCAGGTCAGGGCGTGCTCCCACGCGCTGCAGCGCGCAGGTGACCTGCCGCGGCGCGAATTTGAATCGTAGTCACGCGCTCCGCTGCCGCCGTTGCGACGCAACACACCTTGAGTGTGGACACAACGCCCGATCGCTTGAGCTGCGAGTAGAGCTGTTCCTTGAAGGCCTCGTTCGGCTGCACGGCCCCATCGCCATGCTCCTCCACCGAGATCGGTGGCATGTGGTCCATCGTGTCAATGACATCAAACAACACCGTAGCGCAAATTTTCAACCATCAGACGCGCTCCTGCTCCTTCACTCGTGACAACGCACCGGATCTGTGTGGGGCAGTCCAGTGCCGCATTGTCAGGTGAAGCTTCGCGGGTGACCGCCACGGCCCTGTTGCCTCGGGGCCGTGTGGCGATAGCAGGAGCCCGTGCACTTTCTGAATAAAAGGCACGCTCATGACTGACTCATTGGGGCTGGCGGGCTCGGCACGCAGCCTGCCTAACACAGCCCTCTGGCGGGGTCGCCCATGCAGCACCCCGCTGGTGCAAACGCGCCAGGACATACAGGGGCGATCAAGGATCATCGGTGTTTGCAGCACGGGGTTTGTAGACCGCCAGGTGGCGGCAAAACAGCACTGTGCTGCTCACTTGATTGCAAGAGGAGGGGATCACGATACTGCACAGCGCTGAGGGGCATGCACCGGTAAACAACAAACTATTAGTTTGTTGGTGCGAGCATCACCTGGTATACTGGACACCAGGTGAAGCTCGCGCCTCACCAGGTGTACAGTACACTAGGTGATGCTCGCCTAGTGTACTGGTGGTCGCGCTCGCTGTGCAGTGATGCAGCCAATCGGCATATGGCCGACTTATGCGCCGCTCATCCTTCCTTCGTGGATGAGCGGTATGTGGGGCACACGCAGTCCAACAACACGCACCTCGGCCAGATGGAAGCTGCCCGTGAAACACCCGAATCGCCGCTCAGAAGGTGTGACAGCCCAACATGGCAGCTGCGTGATGTTGGGGCAGCTGGGTGGTCATGCCTCAAACAGCTCCAAAGGCAAGCATAATCACCAGTATTTTCTCAAACTCCAGTGTTTGTAGCCGCGTATGCAACTTTGCCCACCGCACAAGGCAGACGCGAGAACGAAAACCGCTCGGCGGTCCAGCTCGCGAACCGGCCCCGATCTTCCAGGAGCCACCATGAGGCGGAGCCGAGTAGCATGCATGGTTCTGATTGCCTGTCTGGCCACGCTTTACGTGGTGAGCGTGGTCGACGGTGTGGCGCCTGCGTTGCCCCCGCCCCCGCTGCGTCAGCAGTGATGACGGATATGCATGCACTTCACAGAGGGCGTGCGGCACTGCTGTGCTGCTCCAGCGCCCTCCAGCATAGTTGATATTCGATACAGCCAAAATAAAGTCAGCCTAGTGTGCATGTGCCCATGCTCGCCCGACCGCTCACGGCTAGGCCGCCGAGACATCACGACCAAAGAAACCTCTACTGCCCCGACACATGCTCACGGCGCCATCCCGCACGCCGCCCGCCACCCCAAACTCGCAGGCTGACGCCGCAAAGCCAAACCCCAAGGGTAAGGCCCCAGCCGACGCACCCCCGTCCGCCACACCGCCCGCCGCGCCCCGCATCCTGCAGCCGCCAAGCGCCCCCGCCGCGCTGCCCCCGCTGCCGAGCGGCGCCGCCCCGGCCGTCGCGCCCGCTGCGCCCGCCGCGCTCGCCGCGCCCGCCGCGCCTGCGGCGCCCGTCGCACCCGCGCCGCTGACGCCGTCGGGGTCGCCCAGCGGGTACTCTGTTGAGGCTGCCGAGGGCTGCATTAATGCCGGCGCCCTCCAGGGCGACACCACCGCCTGGGTGAGCGGGGCCAGGCCCAGCTCAGTGCAATGCACCATGACCTCAGCGGCGCGCTCCTCACCCAGGCAATTAGACTCACACCTCAAGCCGCGCGGTGATCAAGGTTCCGCAAAGCTTTTGGTGTCAGCGGACGGCGCGGCGCTTAGCACCTGGCAAAGCGCAACTGCATATTGCGCCCACCCTTCCGACTCAAAACTGGCCGCAAGGGGTTTCACCCCTTCCGTCATCTTCTCACGCCCACCCGCGCCCCTTCTGGTCCACTCCCACCAACGCAGCTGGCCTGCCACAATGCCAAGGCGGCCTGCCAGGGCTTCGGCCCCGGCATCGTCATCCGCGCTAACGCCGCCGCCGCCGCAAACGCGACGGCGGTTGACTTGAAGGCGGCCAATGGCAGCGCCTCGCTGGTGCAGTGCAGCAAGTTCGCGCACGGCGCCTGCCAGCAGGTGAGCTCTTACGTGCTATCAATGGGAATGAGTATGTATTAGAGTGCGCGCCGATGCCCCGCTGTCCAGCGGCCGCACGGGTCGTTCAGCAAGCTTCCCTTGCGTGTGATTTTATTGCTGACCTCACCCAACCGTCGCAGACCTGCAAGTAGCTGCACGGCACCCCGCCCACTCACCCCCCCTCCATGATTGCCTGCCTGCTGCTTGTCTCCCACGCTATGCCCCGCTCCGCCCCAAAGCCTTACCTCGCCCAATTTTCCACCTCACAAACGCAGGGGGCCAAGACCGCCTCTGACTTCCTGTGTGCCGCCGAGCTCGCCACCGGCTTCGGCGACTGCTCTCCGGAGGACTTTGCCACCGCCTTCGCAATCGAGGCAACCGCCGCCTGCGCCAGCACCGCCAAGGCCGCGACCGGCGTCGACCCCGAGACGGGCGCGTGGGCCGGCGCCGCCGGTAACGCGACGGCGCCCCCCGAGGCGCCCTCTGGCGGCAAGGGCGGCGCGGCCCTCGGTCTGGCGAAGAGGACCGAGGACGACGCCACCATCCACAGCCCTTTCCAGAACCCTTGGACCGACCCCTTCACCAACCCCAACTGGTGGATGTACGCAAGGGGCGGCCCGTACGGGCCCTACACCGGCGGCGCGGGCAGGGAGTCCCCAGCGGGCGGCTACGTCAACGGCAACTGGTGCGCGCCCGGGCGACGGTCCGCGCGCGTCGCTTGGCTGTTTTGTGCCTGCGTAAGCTTTCTTGCTTGAAGCTTTCAGTTTGGGCCGGACGACCGGCGGACGGGGGTGGGCCCTAGCCTCGGCTCGTGTCAAGTGGCCGCATCGCCCCACCTGCTGTTGGCTGCTTACCTTCTGACCGCAGCTCTCCCCTGGCCCAGCCTCGTTTGCTTTGTGCCCCTGCGCTCGCGTGCTTGCCATCTGTGCGCACCCCAAACCCCCTTCAAAGCACATGCGAGGCTCCATTTTGGATGGCCATCGAAAAATCAGCACCCCTTACAGCACGATTTTGGCATGACAGACTTACATCGGACGCAAATCCAACCCGGCCGGCCGCAGGTACCAATTCAGCGGCGTCTGGTACCAGTATTTGGCAGGCCAGTTCTACCCCGCCGCGAACACCGGCGGCGGCGTCAGCAGCGGCGGCGGCGCGTCCTCCGGCGGCGTCTTCTCGGGCGGCTCCCCGGCCGGCCCGTCGGGCCCGCCGGCCGGGCAGGACCGCACGGCTCCTGTTTACCAGAACGGCCAGTGGTACCAGCTGGGCGGGGTGTCCTACCTTTACCAGGTGGGGCCGAGGATGAGGAGGCCGTTTGGATTGAACTTTTGCTGGTGCACTGGTCAACTCTCTGAAACGGGCACATCGGCGTGGGGTTGGCCAGGACTTCCCGGCAGCCACAAGCAACCCAGCTATTTGTTTTGTCGCCCTAAACATCACTAACCACGACCACCTGTATCGTGCTGCACGCTCGCAAATTTGGTGAATGGTGATGTCATCATGACATCACCTTGCAGGACAACCAGTGGCACTACCTCAAGGACGACCAGTGGTACCTCTTTTCGGAGAACAACTGGTACTACTACGAGCCCAAGTGAGAAGCTCATAGTGAACTTGGTGTCGACTCCATGCATTCCTCTGTTGATGCAGCTGTATGGCGTGGTCAGCACCACCTGGCAGCTGGACGGGCATCTCTGTCTCTGTCCAAGAAAGGAAACCCCAAAGCACCTTGTCGGCTCCAGATCATATCGTACCGTTTTGCTGACTGTCTTGTTGTGAATATTGCGCATTCTTGTCAGCACCGCTCACAATTTATCTAGGACTGCCCTTAAACTTGCCCTGATATCAGCGTGTCGTACATCGCGCAGACATTGCCCCGCCTGCCCCGACCCCACCCGTCCATTCCTCTGACGCACCTCGCGTATGCCACCGCTCATCAAATCCCCCAGGGCGGCCACCTACTACTACTACTCAAACGGCATGTACTACGTCCCCGACACACCTACCGCCACCACCGGCCACTGGTTCAACGTGCCCAAGCCCCGCACCCCCCCTGCCGCGCCGACTGGCCGCCCCAGCCGCCGCCTGCTTGCCTAAGCGCCGGCTCTCCTGCCCCCTGCGGGCCTTCATGCCGCCATGCGGCACGCGGAAGGTTTTGCCGACGCGGCGAGGGCACCTGCGGGCCGGAAGGGACGTGCCCGGCCCGCTTGCTCCTGCTCCCCAGTTTCCTACTGCTGCCGCTCGCGCGGGGGCGCTCGTGCGCCGCCGCTGCTGCTGCGTGGCCAAGAAGGGACGTCGGTGCCTTTGGCGTTTGGGTGTTTGCAGCTCTCGCAATTTCAATCCCATCACTGCACGAACGTTTGGCACCGCCAAGCAGTGAGGGCTCCAAGCTGTGCAGTGGTTTGTGGCTCTGTCGGCCCTGGTGGATGCCACTCGTGATTTAAATCGGTGACAACACATGATGTGCGCGTGCTTACCAGCGCCAACCACAAGCCTTCCTTTCTACGCCAAAGTACCTGCCTCTTTGGCGCACCATGCACCACCCATTCCTTGCTGCAACATGCTTCCGGCGCGTCGCGCTGAGCGGCGCTGCAGGCCCCGTCCCCTCCAATTGCACCCCCACCACAGTTCCTGCCGACGCGCCTGGATCCAGCATGCGGCCTGCCCATGTGGCTGTGGCCCTTGCGGAATTTTTCATTCATCCTTCCCACAGGTGCATCCTTTCACGCATGATGAGCATTTGGTGCATAACCATTCACCAAGGTTTGTAACAAAGAATCAGGACCTAGATTCAATCTCAAAGTCAACTGCTTATGCATGTTTGTGCCATCCAGCGCTGCTTCCATAAAAAAGCTGCCTCCAATCAGATCAGTGCTTCATATGGGGAAACGCGGCCGGGTCCAGTGTGCCGCGTTCGACTGTGCATCGAGTGCCGCGCCGCCCTCCTTGCCGTGGGTTTGCTGACATCATTACCCGCTGCTGTCAACAAACATTGGTGGGCGTCAGCCACAGCAATGTCGGAAATGCATCGAATATGCTTCCTCATAAGCGAAAAAAGGCGGCGGGCAGCGGCAATCCAGCGCACGTCAACTTGCGCGCTCAGATCATGGTTAATCAGTACGTCCCGATGGCACGTATTCAGCTTCGCATCGCATCAATCATAGCTCCAATAGGTGCTGCACCTTCAAAGTTGCAGCACGGACGTCACTGTACTGTACCCACCCCGCTTTCCACTCCCGCACTCCGCCCTTCGCGGTAGCATAGCTCAAACAGCTTACTGGAGACAGTAAAATTGGGGTTGTAGATACACTAGTTGCATAGGCGCGGTGCGCACCGCGTGCAGGCGGCGCAAACCGCGCACGGGCAAGGCAGCAGCAGCGGCCGGGGTGGCGCGCGCCCAAAAATGGGCAAGCGCAAGAGCTCCGCCAAGCCGCCACCCAAGGCGCCGGCGCCCAAGCTGGACACATCGTTCAACTGCCCCTTCTGCAACAGCACCAAGACGGTGCGCGGCGCTGCTGCATGCACGGGCGACCTCCACGCTGCGGCCCATGCTCCCCATGCGGCCGCGCCATGCGGCCGCGCCATGCGGCTGCGGCTGCGCCGCTCCCTCAGCCCTCAGCTGGGTCCGGCCGGCAACCTCCCTCTTGCAGAAGCGCCCTCGTCGCGCAACATGTGTGTGCCGCGCCGCGCCGCCGCAACCGCAAATGCTGTCGGCCCACACTCCTACTGCAGCCAGGGGCCCTGGCGCCACCCATCCGATCCCCCCCGACTGTCTCCCCTCCCCCCAACCCCAGGTCCAATGCACCATGGATTGGGAGCGTCAGGAGGGGACCGTGGAGTGCGTGCACTGCAAGGAGAGCTTCAGCAGCAAGATCAACCACCTGTCTGAGCCGATTGACATCTACAGGTGTTTACAGGACCCCTGGGGACGGCCCTGCATATCAGGCAGCCCTGGGTGATCTGGGTGGTGCTCCTTGTGTTTCGGCAGCGGTCAAAACCGCGGCAGGACTCATGGCGGGACAGGATACCCCATGGCATGCCTGCGGCTGCTTGATCGCGGCGGCGGCGGCGCCGCGCGGTTGCGCTTGGTTGAAAAGTGGGAGTGTGGTGAGCCAGCTGCGGCCGGGGCGCGGGCGTGGAGCGGCGCGGGCGCCATGCCTTGCTGCTTCGGCCGCCCCCCACCACCCCCGACCACCTCATGCCGCCTCCGCCCCACCACACCCCACCGCCTTTCGCCCCGCAGCGACTGGCTGGATGCCTGCGAGAGCGCCAACGCATAACATGCAAAGCTGATTTCGTATAGTGGCGTCGTCGCGCGCTGTAGCCGGCGCCTGCGCCGGCCGCGCTCGGAGCAACGTGCAGCGGCAGCGCAGCTTTCCAGGATCGCGTGCGGCCGGCGAGCCTGCTATTGATTGGGCGCGGCTGACGCGCCTGCGTGCGCGGCGCCGCATTCCTGAGCCCCATCCCTCATCTGCTGACACGCACCCGTTTCGGAGGTGCCTCCATGCCCCGCCGAGCAAGGCTCTCATCTGAAGCTTGTAAAATCCCGTGACCGTTGGACTGAGCAGGGGAGGCAAGGCAGCCATGGGCCATGGCGGTGAGGGGGCCCTGCTGGCACTGTCATGGGGGTGGGCCGACGCGACAGCCGTGGTTACACACGGACGCCCTAGGTGGCGCGCGCCTGCGGTGCAAGGCGCGGGAGCGGGCGTGGGGCGGCCAGGCGGCGGCGCCGGGCGGAATATCTAAGACGATGGCTGGGTCGCACGTTGTGTGGGCCGCCGCGCGTGCACGCATGTGTGTTAGGGTTTGGGGCATAGCGCTTCGCACCCCCTCAGGGGCGCTCGGGCCTCGCACAGCTGCGGGCAAGCCGCGCCGCGCTGGGGGCCGCCCGTGGCGGCGGGGCTGGAGCATGTGGGAAACAACGGGGGCGCCCAGGCAAGGCAGAGCGCGCTTGCGCCGCCCAAGGGGTGCTCAGAAAGGGGGCGCCCGCCGCGCGGAGGCATAGAGATGGGGCGAAACCGCCTGGGATGAGGAAAAAAACCGCCGGCGCCGGGCAAACGGGGGCAATTCGCCGGAGCGCGGCGGCGCCGGGCCGCGGGCGCCGCTCTAAAAGCGAGGCGGCGGCGGGGACCCGAAATCGCCCGATGAAATAAACATGAGGCGGCTCCGCCACTGCAAAGCGGCGAGGCCCCGCGGCGGCGGGGCAGCGCTGCAGGGGTGCGCGGCTGAGACCATCGGTCAGCACTTCCCTTCACCATGGGCGCGGAGAAGCTAAAGGTTCACACAGCAGCCGCCTTATTTCTGATTAAGTACTGCGGCCGCGCCCTGCCGAGCCGGGCGCGGCGCACGCCCCATGAGAGGGCGCGCGCACAGGGGTTTGAGGGTCGCAGGCCCCAATTCTGTGCACCCCCGCGGGGGCCAGGGACCGACAGCCCGGGCCCAGGTGCGGCTGCTTGCGCGGAGTGAGTCACCTGCCACCCAAAGGAATGCCGCATCCGCGTGGCGCGCGGCGCGTGGCGGCGGGCGGCCACCCGGGAATCGAGGCGCCCGCTCGCCGGCCCCGCCCCCGCGGCGGACTCGCCGCGTCGCGAGGCGCCCCGCAGCGGGTCCCCCCACACAGGAAAAAAACGCGGGCGCGTCGGGTTGCGGGGGCCGGGGCGGCGGCGCGGCACGCCGGGCCCCAGGGCGGCTCGAAGCGGCGCATGTTGGGGGCGTATGGCGGGGTGCCCACTGCGCGGAGGCGAAAATAGGCCGGCGGCAGGGGGCGTGCCCCCCGCCCGAAAAGTCCTGCTAGGGTGGGTGCGCATGGGACACAGTCTGGGGGATGCGCTTGGTTGTGGCTTACCGAATGCTCGAGGGTTCGTTCGCGGCGGCGCGCGCGGCGGCGAAAAGAGGGGCGAGGGCACGCCGCGACGCCGGCAAGGGATGCATCATAACGGGCGCGAAAACAGGCGCCAGGCCCCGCCCGCGGGCGGGCGTCCGCCAGAGCCGCGTCCCATAGGAGGCGGCCCCAAGGGCGCGTCGCGCGGCGCGTGCGCTCTCGGCAGCTGCTGACCGCGCGGACCAAGCCAGTGGGTAGTCGCGCGGCCCGGCCGGGCGCGCCGCGGCAACACTTGACAGGGCCCGGGCGCTGGGGGCACCCAGGGAGGCTGCATCAGACATGAACCATAAAACATGACAAAAATATCAGAGGATCATCAGGCCAGGGAAGCGGGCCTGGCGCATTATGAGGGGGCGCCCCGACGCCAGCAGCTCCCGGCCAGCCTTGACCTGCGGGATGAAAATCGGTGTGTGTGTGTGTGAGAGGGGGGGGGGAGAGAGCGGCAGGCGCTGCATGATGTGTGTACAGAGGGTCTCGACACGACTCTGCTGCAAGGGCGCGAGCGGCGCTCCTCAACCCCCAATCAATTTTTCCACCACATGCGGGGACCCAAAGTCTCGTGCAGCGAGCCGGCAAGGGCGTCTCAGTACATGTGCACGTCTCAGTGCATGCGGGCTCGAGGGCTCCGCAGGACCGTGGCCGCATCGTCCCCTGATAAAAAGGCGCCCCCCCCTCCCCCCCGAAAAACCGTGTCCCCGCGCCCACCTTGGCAACCAGGCGCATCTTATCCATCGGCGTGATCTTGGAGCAGCCCGCGATGTCGAGCTCGGTGAGCACGGGCAGCCGCAGCAGCGCCGACACCGCCTCGTGATTAATGGTGGTGGCGCCGGCCAGAGACAGCTTCAATGGGGCCGCCTCTGCGGGGCGGGCCGGCGGGAGGCGGGGGCCGGAGAGGGCGGGGCTCGCGTCAATCAAGTTTTTAATAAGCACACACAGGAACTCATGAATAGATGCATACGACTATCGACTGCGATTGACTGGTGTGAATATGCTGGCGTGCGGCGCGTCGGACAGGCGCCCCCTTCCCTCGCTGCACCGCACTGACGCGTGCGTCACCCGAGGCGCCCCCCTTGGCGTCCCCGAACGAAAGGTGTCCCCGAACGAAAGGTGTCCCCGAATGAGCCCCCTGCTCTCAGAGCCGGTTGTTGATGGCCCCTTTTTGTAACGCGCAACGCGCACACGCCGCGATGATGTACCATTGCCGTGCACGCGCCCAGCGCACTGATGTGACCCGGCCGTGCGCGCGTCGGCCGTTCTCATCCATATCCACCCCCCTTATCCCAATCAAGGCGCCCGGTCGCCGCCGGTCAACCCTGGTCAACCGCGGTCAAACCCCGCTCACCCTGCGCGTGGACCATGCGCGCGCAGATCGCGTCCACCAGCGCCTTGACGCCCTCGTTGCTGATGTGGCTGAACGCGGGGCGGCTCAGCGTCGGCTGCTGCTTGAACGCCCAGGAGTCTAGCCGCAGCTCCGTCAAGGGCAGCATCCCCAGCACCTGCGGCGCGGCCACAAGCGAGTTGAGATAGTCCCCAACGCTGGGCGTCGGTTTGTATACGCACGCGCATGTGCATTTGGGCGTCGCTCCGACTGATGGCATGCGCTCTCGCTTCACGCCTGTCCCGCGACACACACACGCCGGCTGCACACCGATACACCCCACGCCCAGACGCCTCACCCTCAGCTGGTCTGCCGTGAGCAGCGGCCCCTTTGCCACCACCTCCAGCGCCCCAAAACACTGCACACACATACTTGCCGCAGACCAACACGCCCCCCAGCTCACCCTCAGTTGGTCCGCCATGAGCAGCGGCCCCTTTGCCACCACCTCCAGCGCCCGCAGCCCCGCCAGCCCCGTGAACGACCACAGGGCGTCATCTAGGTCCTGGGGGCTCTCCACTAGGTATGACAGCCGGCGCAAAAACGGGCTGCGGCGGCGGGTCGGCGCCGCGTGGGGGAGGGGTGGGGGGAGGGTTGGCA